AGTACATAACCTAACCTTAACTTTGATCTCAAATCAAAATTCGGGGAGCGTTGTCGTCAAGGCCCTTACCACTGAAGCTACCGATCGGTATCCTGTAGACTATATTTCAGCAGCTTGCAAAGATCAGTGCATGGGTTTGCGGCTCAAGTGGCAACTTTTAGCCAAACACTAGGCGTTATCTTTCCGGCCGGGTTTTAGCTATGGTTCATTGGTGATGGCAGCTGGGCCCCAGCTCACAAATCCAATTTTCCTTATCCCTATCGAAAACACTAATGCAAAAGCATTTCCCTCAACAGGACATGAACTCTTAATTTTAAATCAAAATGGCTGTTCTTTTGGGTTGCTGGATGCCTTGAAGGATAGTCTGCGGTCAACAAGTCTGTTATTTATCTGCATACGTCTAGCCTTAACAACACTCTTACTATGCCCAGCCTCATTAATAACATCAGAAATACTGGTGTTTATCATTTGAAAACCACATGCGTAGGTTGCAATTACATGTCCAGGTCTTTCTTAATGGCAAACATACTCTTTGGCAATGATATTAACATCTCATACCTGAAATTCGATACTCACCCTCTGCCTCTACGATTTTTCGAGGTCGTGCTTCCCCATTCAGCGCGTAAGCTGCCTGTGCAACGTTCCTGTTATGAATTACTTTGAGAAGAAAAACCTCTCAAAGCGCTGTAGAATGAAATTGGTTGTGTATTCCGCGATGTTCAGGAAAAGCATTTTTCTGCCATTTACGGGCAGTCACATTTGCATGGACGTAAAATGGAATTTTGAAGAATTTTCATGGTCGCCAGACTATTTTCAAAGCAAGGTTAACAAAATAAATCTCATATTTTCTTTTATAGCATAGAATTTGTTTTTACAGGAAGCATTTTTCCATATAACCCCCTTGCATGGAGTCACATACAGGGTGCGATTATCATATGTTTTTTTTAAATTACTCTGTCAGGAAACCTTAGGAACCGCTTGAGGTTAGGATAATCGTTTTTTTAAAAGGTTGAACACTGTTTCTC